CCAAAAAAAAAAAAAAAAAGAAAGAAAGAAAGAAAGAAAGAAAGAAAGAAAGAAAGAAAGAAAGAAAGAAAAAATAGTTAAAAAAAAAAGCAGTTAAGGCAGTTGTGACCCACGTCTCCAGGAGGAAGGGGCTTCTCCCTGTATGGCTGGGGAGTGTCACCTGTTGGGGACAGCATGGTGGAGTCGCGGGGATGCGCCAGGTGTGTGAAGGTAGGCCCCATCCGCCGAACCCCTCCCAGCGTGCCGACTTCACCACTCACTAGGTGTTGGGGAGAAAGGAGGTGGGTGAGTCTGGCATAAGCTGGGCTCCTTTGCTGTTTCCCAGTTGCTGCCCTGCTTGGCGACCCCTGAAGCCCAGCCCGAGTCCCCGCCACAGATCTGAAGTGGGCCCTGGAGCAGCCAGTCCTCCTGGAGGAGCGGAGAAGGCTTCAGGGGCCACCTCCTGCCCAGGGACAGGTGTCCTGCCCTCCTGAAGATGGGGTGGGGCCGGTAGTGAGTTGAACGGTGGTCCCCAAAAGATAGGTGCTCAGACTGTGACTGTGGCCTCATTTGGAGAAGGGGTCTTTGCAGGGTAACTAGGCTTTCAGGTGAGATGGTGTAAATCTGATGACTGAAGTCCTGTGAGAGACAGAGAGGACGACACGCACAGGAGCCCAGTGGCCCAGCCAAGGAGCGCTGCCACTAGGAGCTCGAGAGCACAGCAGGGACCACGGTGGGGGGCTCCCCAGGCAGGGATGGCGCTGGCTCCTGGCCCCGCCTGCATCCACTTGCCCTGCCTGGCAGGACCAGGGGCTGGCGGGGTGCCAGGCTGGATGCCCTACCTGCCAGCTCCTTCTCTGCAGGCGAGGGCCTCAGCTGGCTACTCATCCGGCCTCTGTACAGGACCCCGTCCACTCCCAGGATGTCCACCTCGGCCTGTAGGGGGCCCGGGACCTGGGTCAGGGCACCCCCTGGCACTGGGCCCTCTCTCAAGTGCACAGAGGCCCAGAGTCAGCACCCGCCCACCAGAGGCCACTCACTGTTGAGGCAGGGTGAACTGACATCTACCCTCCACAAGGGCTGCGGCCAGACTCACGGTGTCATAGTCCATCATTTGGGGGTCCCCGTAGGGGTAAAGTGTTGACAGGTTGCATGACTTGAGGTTGGCTTCATTTTGGGGGCCATCCCCCCAGTCCTGCGGGGAGCCCAGGGAGTCCAGGCTTCCCTTCTGGATCTCAAATTCCTGGCGCCGTAGCCGCTGCTGTTCCCTGGGGCAGGGTAGTGGGTCAGCAGCCGCCCCCACCACACCTCAAGCCCTGGCCTAGCCCCCGATAAGGTATGGGGGCGGGGTCAGCACGGGCCATAGCCCTGCCCCTCACATGCCCAGTCTTTTCCCCAGGACTGAGCAGATTACTGCAGGAACAGGCTCCTGCACTTGAGGGACCTCGGTGGGCAACCGTGGCTTGGCTTGGCCACCTCATCTGCTGCCGCTGCAGGTACTCATAACTGTTGGCACTGGCGGGCCTCAGCCGAGACAGCAGGTGGGCTTTGCGGATGGTTATCAGGTGTCTGGTGGGGGACAAAAGTGCAGCAAAGGTGTGGAAAGTGCATGTGGTCCTCAGAGGGCTCCCACCCCCTCCAAGAAGCCCTCCCAGGGGAACAAAGGAGGTGCAGGTTCCTATGCCCATGCCCACCCTCAAACACGGCTTTCTGCCCAGATGGGTCACAAGCACGGGGCCACTGGGGTCACTGTGCAAAGGCTCTCAGGAGCCCTGAGAATTACACAGAAGAACAACTGCTCTCATTGTAAAAGTAAAACTCGAAAGTAGGTGAATTCTGGGGAAAGACTCAGATTGGTGGTTGCAGGGGCTGGGAAGGGGCGATGGGGAGGGAGTGCTTTGTGGGTGCAGGGTAGAAATGCTCCTAGGGGGTGGCGGTGACAGCACAGCTTTGTGATGCACCAGATGCCCCTGGACTGTACGTGTTAGTGTGGTGAACTCATGCCGTGGGTCTCTGCCTCACTACGGAGACAAAGTAAGGGCTGGCCCCTAGCCTGATGGTTAAGGAAGGAAGCCACAGAGTCGAATCCCAGCTCAGAGGCTTGAAAAACATTTCAGGCCACGTGTGTATGTTCTCCAAACCCTGGCAGGATGGAGACAGAGAAGGGATTGTAGTGTGGCCATGCCCCATGGGGTGCTTCCCTCTTTCTCTGTGAGTGCATACACCCTCCAGCAATTAGAACAGGAAAGAAAGGGGACCAGCAGATGGCGTAATGGTCACATCGCTGGATGCCCACGTAGTTGACTGTGGTTCGAGTCCCAGACTTGAAGTGTGGAAACTCATGCTGGGTGCATGTGTGTGTGCACCCAAAATCCTGAGAGGAGAATGGAAGAGAAGGGATTATGGCATGGCCATCTCCTCTGGAGGTGATTTCTTGCTTTCTGTCTCTCTCTCTCCACTAAGTGCATGCACCCTGGGGGGGGGGGGGGGAGGAAAACAATAGCTTTCGGGCCAGCAAGTGGTATAGTGGTTAAGGTGCTGGCCTCCCACATGACCAACAGTAGTTCAAGTTCTGGACCTAGTAGCTTAAAAATCGCACCAGGCACATGTGTGTGCATGCCCAAAATCCCAAGAAGAGAATGGAGGAGAAGGGATTGCAGCATGGCCATCACCCCAGGGGGTAATTTCTTACTTTCTCTCTCTCACTGTCAAGCACTTGTGCCCTATCACAACAAAACTAAAAAAAAGAACAATGAAAAACACACAGGTCGTGTGTGTGTCCCAAAAGGAGGGAGAGATAGAGAAGGGATTTCGGCATGGCCACCTCCATGGAGGGTCCCCCCCACCCCCCGCCTCCAGAAACAACACGTGCCCTATACCAAAATTAACAAACAAACATAGCTTTCTCAGGAGCTTCGAGTCTTCTGCTACGGGTGGGGTGTACGTGCTCACCAGAACAAAACAGGGAGAGAGAAGGAAAGTGAAAGCACCTCCCAGGAGGATGGCCATGCTGCAATCCTTTCTCCTCCTTTTCTCCCCTCAGAACTTTAGGTGGGCATGCACGCACATGCATGGGTGTGTTTTTCAAGCCACCGGGTCAAGTGCACAGTTGGCACTGTGGAATCTAGCCACCTTAACAGCATGCCACTGGCCAGCCCCACTCCACGTCTAGATCTGAGCAGCGGTTATGCAGGTGGACAGGCCTGTGAAACTGCATGGAGCTGGACACTAAACATCCGGGTATGTACTGTGCGTATGCCAAATTGCAGTAAAAATGCTGTGTGGGGAGCCAGCAGGAGGCGCAGTGGTTAAGGTGCTGGACTTGCACGTGACTGACCATGGTTGACTCCTAGACCTGGAGGCTTAAAACTCACACCAGATGTGTGTGCATGTGTGTCCAAAATTCCAGGAGAAGAATGGAGAAGGGATTGCAGCATGGCCATCCTCCCTGGGGGAGGAGAGGAGGATTTCTCATTTTCTGTCTCTGTCTCTCCGATGAGTGCGTGTACCCTATAGTAAAAGTCTCAACATCAATAAATACTGCGTGGACTGGTGGTAAGGGTGTGTGCATAGTCGACGGTCATGGAGCAATGCCTATGGACGCATGCCGTCGACAGAATGGGGGCACATACGTGGCCCTTGTACCATGGTGTACGTGGGTGTGCATGCACAGGACATCTGCAGAGCACTGGGCACGGGTGTACGTGTGCGTGAGTTTTTAGTTTGCCAGAGACTGTGTGTGCTCACAGAAAGGGAGAAAGCCCCACGTGGGGCAGCTGGGTCTCACTGCAATCCCTCCTGGTTTCTCCATCCTTTGGGGACTTAGGCGCCCATGCACATGTGCCTGGCAAGTGTTTTAAGACACCTGGGCAGGACTCTTAACTCCCTGCAGGCCACATGGGATCCCACTTCCTTAAGCACTAGGCCTGGTATATTTCCTACGCTGAATAACAATATATATGGGACCAGCAGATGGCATAATGGTTACATCGCAGCATGGCCACCAGGCCCCCAGAGTGATTTCTCGCTGTCTCTATTTCTCCAGCGAGCGCACCCGCTCTAGAGCAAAATTCTCTTAAAACAAAACAAAAAACAAACCGCGTATATGGATGTGTATACGGATGGCTTCCCAACGCTGTAAGCGGATGTGCACACAGAACGGTGTACACGGATGTGTACACAGGTCTACAGGATCCGAGAGCCTAAGGGCGGGGGGCGGACCCCGACCGGAGCGAGCACGGGGCCCCTGGCGGCGGTACTCACGGGCCGGTCATCATCTCCACCGGCCGGTCGCAGGAAATGCATTTCACCCGCTCGAACAGTTTCCTGAAAGATACCGCGGTCAGCAGAGGCCTCCTGCTCAGCTGCCCGCGCCCCAGGCCGCGCCCGGGGCTGAGGCCTTAGCCTCGGGCGGCGCGCTCCCCGCAGGCCGGCGCTGCCCAGGCGGGCGGGCGGATAAAAGGGTGACGGGTTTGTCTCGCTCTCCCAGCACAGCGGATGGGCCCGCGGTGGACCGGCCACACGAAAGCTGCGCTTCGCGGCAGGCATGGCGGGGCGCAGAGGTGATCCGAGGACAGCAGCCCCCGAACACTGGGCTCCTGTGCCTGGGGCGCTGTCTGGGTGCGGCCAGGGCCCTGGTTGCGGCCCTGCACGCCCCTTCCCCTTGGAGCCCGTTTCCTCCCCCTCGGGAAAAGGGCTGGAGTTCCCTCTGCCTGCCCAGGCCGGAACCCCGCGATCTGCGCCCCCTTGCGGCTCTC